GCCCCGCTCCTCCTCACCCAAAGCGTCCGGCCCTGCGCCCGCGTCCCAGCCATGGCAAGAAACCACCAAGTGCAGAAGGCCAAGCTGGCCGAGCAGGCTGAGCGCTACGAGGACATGGCAGACTTCATGAAGGCCGTGGTGGAGCACGGGGACGAGCTGTCCAACGAGGAGCGCAACCTCCTCTCGGTGGCCTACAAGAACGTGGTGGGCTGCCAGCGCTCGGCCTGGAGGGTCATCTCCAGCATCGAGCACAAAACCGAGGAGGGCGACGACAAGGCGCAGCTGGTGAACGAGTACCGGGAGAAGGTGGAGCGGGAGCTGAACGGCGTCTGCAACAACGTCCTGGCCTTGCTGGACAAGTATCTCATCAAGAAGGCGAGCGACCCTGAGAGCAAGGTCTTCTACCTGAAGATGAAGGGCGACTACTTCCGATACCTGGCCGAGGTGGCCACCGGGGACGACCGCAAGAAGACGATAGAGAACGCCCAGGAAGCCTACCAAGAGGCCATGGACATCAGCAAAAAGGAGATGCAGCCCACGAACCCCATCCGCCTGGGGCTGGCCCTCAACTTCTCCGTGTTCCACTACGAGATCGCCAACGCCCCCGAGCAGGCCATCTCCCTGGCCAAGACCACCTTCGACGAGGCCATGGGGGACCTGCACACGCTCAGCGAAGACTCCTACAAGGACAGCACCCTCATCATGCAGCTGCTCAGGGACAACCTCACGCTATGGACAGCCGAGTGCGCCGGGGAAGACGGCGGCGAGGCTGGAGAAGAGCCCAAGAACTGAATGGCCCCCGCCGAGCTGGGGACAGGCCCCCACCTGCCCCCCCGCAGGTGCCGTGTCGGCATCGATCTTTTTCTCGTTGGCTTTTCCTTTTGTTTTTTTTGTTTCTTTTTTTTTCTTTTTTTGTTTTCTTTTTTTTTTTGGTTGTCGTTGTTGTTGGGTTTGTTTGTTGGAGGACGGAGTTCGTCAGTTCCTCCACGGCCCCCCTCCCCCTCGCAAGCCTGGATGCCGGGAGTGGGGGTGGTTTTGGCGTGGCCTCCCTCCTCCCTCTCCCTCATCCTCTGCTCTGGGGAGGGGGAAAGGAGGGAGAGAGGGTGCCTCCGTTCTGGAGGGCTGCCAGCCCCCCTGCTATTTAACAATTTTTGGGGAGGGGGTGTCCAGCCTGGCATGTGCCAGCTTCAAACCCCCTGTCCCGAAGGGCTGGAGCAGCACCAGGAGGAGGTGAGGGGCCGGGACGGCGCAAGGGGGGGTCCGGGCAGCTCCCTCCCATTCTGGGAGGGGGGTCTCATGTTGCCAAAGCCTCTGTGGGTCTCCAATAAACCGTCTCCTGCACTCCTGCCTCTAGTCTGCCTCGTCTCTCCCTGCACACGTGTCCAGGCAGCTCCTGCTGCCGCCGGGCATCCGCCTCCCCTCCCATCCCACCAGGGTGGGGGAGCAGTCCGGTGGGCCTCCAAAATCGGCTGCTCTCGATCCCCCACCCAGCCCCACAGTGGGGTCTTGGGGTGCCCAGCAAACCCCATTCCTTGGCAAGCCTTGGAAAGGCTTGGGGGGGTCTCTGCATCCACCAGACAAGGG